GTAAGAACATTACATTTATTCCTACAGAACATTCTCTAAGTAAGAACTTCTGGTACATGTGGACCTTGAGCCAACAAGCATTGATGAGTCAAGATCAGATCTACTGAAGTCACAGTACACCACTACGCTACACACCATTACAGTCACGATAGCATACATCTCAACCTCAGAGGTTGAGCTGTTAGATTTCCCACTGCCTAGTCCTTTATTCTGAGGTTGAATGTGGTCCATTAATTTCAGACTCTGAGAAGTATGCTTAGAGGTTCATTCCCTTCCCTCCATTTTTTACTGTACACCATCAAACAATGTGGAATTACAAATAGCAACAGCATTCTGGAAATCGCTCCCATGTCCCTCCTTATAACTGCACAAACACTTGGCAAACTCAAGCACACACAAGATGATTTAGGTACCAAGTCCTCAGAAGAGCATGACTCTTTTCCATGGGGAAGACAGAATCTTCTGCCCTTTGTGCTATAACCTAGTTCCTCAATTTCTCTGCCAGATACCCCCCCTCCCAAAACAAACCCTCTTCTGTGCGTGATAAGTGAAGGACAGGAAGCAGCCTTGATTTGACTATGCTTAAGTAATAACACAGCTCACAGGTCCTCCAGAAACACACTGATACTTACTCAAAATGGGAAACAAACTTCAAGACTGTGGTTTCAAATTTAGCAGCAGTGCAAGCTTAAAGAGCTCCCAGCCCTCGTTCCCCTTCTCCCAGTCCCATGACCTCCATGGGCTGGCACAGCTTTGTGCAGACTGGTAAAACACAGCGCGAGACGAGCAGCAAAAAGATGCAAATTTGAAGGATCTTCCAACTCCTCCTCACCCAGCTCAGTTTGATTCCTCCCTTTGCTTCACTGCTTGTAAAGCCATGGCCTCAGAGTCAAACTGACTGAAGTAGTTGGGGGTCATTTGCTGTTTAAGGCTTTACAGATATATTTACTACAGTGGCTCAAGAGTTATTTTCTTCTTACAGTCTGCGTACCAACTGTTTGTACATTTAGAAGCAGGATATACATGCTTCTGTGCTGAAAATTCTTATGAAAAGGAACAAACATGCTGAATTAGATCATTCTACACTTGAGTACAGTAAATGTTTAAAAACATAACATAATCTCGGAAAAAGCCACTGACTTCAGTATGAAGAAAAAAACCCAGCTCTTAAGCAACCAGTCACCATGATTCAGTTCTTTATCCTTGCAAGTAAAAATTCTGTAGACTCCAAAAGCAAGTTGTCAACTATCCTTTGAGAGAAAGAATAATAAATAAATTTTAAAAAAGATCTAGCCATCAGCACACCTGGCCCAACAATCATAGGGAACCTTTATGTCACAGCTTGCAAAGAGGACACTCCCAGGTTAAGTTCTGTACAGATGATCTCCAAAGGTTATGGGGAAAAACACTTAAGCTACTGGGTAAATACGGCCACTGGAGCCAATTACATATTTACAGAATTCTACCCAGCAATTTAGCTTGCTGCTACAAAGCAGCAAACAGGAATATTCAATAATTATTGTTTAAAGTTGGCCACAGCTAAACTATCCCAAGTCAGGAATCCAGGGTTTAACTCTTGGAATCCTAACCAAGTCCAAGTTATGCTTCTGTTCTCAAATTTCTTGACCTTTGCGGTTACATGGTTAAATATCCATTTGCTATTTACCCTGAGTTAGGATACAGTCAGGACAGGGGAAAGGGTGGAAGAGTCACGAAGGCAGAAGAGAGCTTTGTGAGCTGGGCTCGCATATGATACCCTTCATTAGACTAATGCTAGCCATGTATTGAACGTGCTGGCAGATAACAGGAACATGCACTATCTAGGACAAAACCAGCAACCAGATGCCCTCTTAGAAGGGCATTACATCTGAGAAGAATTTTCAGTCTCCCAGTATCAGACCTCAGACACAACAAATGCATCTATTTAATTGTGATAATGGTACATGCAGCATGTCAGAGGGGAAAAAATATTAGAGAATGGCAGCTTCAATAGAAAGATATTTTGGGGATGGAGAGGACAAGACAAGGAACATCAGCATAGGGCTAAAAGGCAAAGCATTTAAGTTGAGCCTCTATTTACTATGTTAATCAGTATTTCATTGGGGTTTTTTCTCTTGTTATTCAGTACATCTGTCAATTTATTACATGTAGAAATTACGAACACTTCAGACTAGCGACTGTCTTTACTGTATGCACAAACTGCATGTAACACTGTGAAGCTCTGATTTCCATTAGAGTGAATCTTTACATGATCCAATTGACAATTCATGTGTGAGATTCAGCCCACGTAGATCTTCCCCATCAGCCTGCCACATACTCATTCAGGGAGAACAGGAATGGCCGTTTAGGCAGCTTATGTTTCCAAACAGCCAGCTCTGTCTTCCTTTGGCTGACCAGAAACCTAGGATCAAGCGCAGCCATTTCTCCATCAGCTCTGGAGGCGGGTGTGATCATGCCTCCTTTTGCATGCGTGCCCAGGCCAGGCTCGTCAAACCATGACACACCACTGCAGCAGTGGAGAGGGTGGGGAGAGCAAGCAAAACCCTGATCCAGATTCTGCAAATAAGAGACAAAACCCAACTCTGTGCTGGACATCTGTCATTTAAAAGGCAAGATTAAGAAGAAGAGTCAAGGCACTAGCAAGGGAATAAAGCTTTTCATATTTAGATTGACAATTTCTCTGGCAACAAGTACAAGTGTAAGTCTGAGTTAGCCCAATAAAAGAAGATAGTAGGTGTTTGCTTCCAGTCTTAATGAACAAAAGATTGTACCATGAAAGGCATCACCAATTAACATACTGTATCAGTTGCAAATCTAAAGATTGATCTTTCACCACACTTTGACGCTAATACACCTCTAAGACTCTCACACAAGTACAATACAATAAAGAGGCCTATGCTTATGTGAGCCACAGAAAATGAATCTTGAGCCTGAATTCTCATCTTCTCTTGTTTCCAGGATAAGTCTTTCCAAATTACCATTAAGGCAAAGCGAAGTAGCAGCAAGTCGGTAACAAAACAATGGTTGGCCTTGCCTCCCCCCATCCTTCCATCAGGTCTATACTGATCAGCGCACTGAAGAGCAATTCCCTTCAGCTTGCCAACACCACACAATCTGTGGTGTCACTGGTTTCACCATTTTGCAGGTCAGTTCTGTGACAGATCAAGAAGCCAAACTGATTCACCCAGCAGACAGAGACACACATAGACCTTTTGAAGGGACACAGGGACTCTTGTGAGGCAACCCACAGTTTCACCAGACCAGGCATAACATGAAACCACACCCTGTGTGTTAAGAAAGTCCTGCAGCTGGAGGCCAAGCCACATACATTGTGGGCAGAGAACAGTCCTCATCAGTGACAACATCCTAGCACCCCTACCAAAACAATTTCTCTCTCTCAGAGATACCAAGTTTAGTGAAAGCAAGAGGCAGTAGCAACAAAAATTCCTCTCATTCTGATATTCCAAAACGTGGGCTTTGTATTTCTCTAAAACTGTATTTTGAAGACAATGTTTCCCATAAAGCAAGAATACACTAAACTCTACTCCAAATCACTAACATGTCTTTATAAGCCATTTGCAGGTACATTCCTCATGTCACTTGAAACAAGCCACTGACTCTGTTCAGGCAAGCCAAATCTCCACTGTCCAGCCCACTGTTTAAAAATTCTAAGCAGTATGTTTAATTTACAAAGTTTAAACAGAAGGAGGAGGTTAAGTTGATAGAGATCAATTAATAGAGGACAGGAAAATGCAATTCATGATCCAGAAGTCATTTCTTCTAGTGCCCTTGAAAAAGATGTGGCTCTGCAAAAGTGATAATTAGGGACAGTTGGAACATTGTTTATTTCCTAGCAAAGGCAGTAGTTCAGGCCTCCAAGGATAAATCAAATTTCTTAACCAGATGGAAGACATTTTATTTGCAAACATCAACCATACAACAATGGACCACAGAAAGGAAGGAGCCAATTCACAACAGCAACAAGAAAACAAAATTACTAGAGATTTAGAGACGAGTTCTCATCAAAATCTGCACTTACAAAGAGCCTCATGTTGCATCAGAATTTGCACCACATCCCACCACAGTCAATTCAAAGACACTTTTATTGGCAAAACAAGCTCTGCAAGTGTTACCCACATGTAAGTGACAGCACACGAGTTTCTCCCAGAAGTGGTTTCAACATACGAAAAGCCTGCCTCCCCAGAGGTTTCAACAGAGAAGGCTACATGGCATGGAGTCCAACAATAGAAATGAAAATATTCCAAGGAATAATGCCTTATTTCTAGTAAAATGAGTGTTTTCTTGCTCTCTCTAATCTCCTTTTATATTTTACTCACAGGATTAGATTTCCTTCTCAGTCTGTCATTTTACTTCTCTTTCCCAGACGTTTACTCTTTGATTTATGGTGTTCTTCCTGTATCCGACTCAAAGTTGCACATGTCAGTTCAGTATTCAGTAAGAGTCTGACTTGATTTTGCACATTTCATTTGGTACTATTGGCCAGCATAATAACTTTGTGCAATAACTTGTGGCAGACTAGTTGGCTATTCTGGTTTAGATTCAGACTAGTTTCTCAAACAGATGGATTTTGGATTAAGTCCTTTGCTTCATTAGCCTCAAAAGGAGTGCCAAATCCCAGAAACAATGTTTTCATAGGGATGCATTTTCATTTGGTTTCAGTCTATGGTTCTCTAGTACTTTCAGGCGGAGACAGCTTTTGCTGCTTTGGCTGAAATCACACCAAAACCAAGTCTATTTATGCAAAGATCAGCAATGGGAATTCTTCCAGTTCTACTATATAGCCATCACTACACAGATTTCATAGATTTAGTTCTATCATGTCTTTGCATATCACTTTGGTTACAACGTAAGAACATACAGAGCTCTGGAGCTCATTCTTGTGAGAGCCAAAGGTTTAATTTGCCATCAAATAGTATAGCAGGAAAATCTCAGCATTATATTCAGTTCTTATGGTTTTGAGTAGTTGAAATCTGCCTTACTTGCTAGGGCCACTACATAGCCAGCACAGCCACACTGGCACAGACCCTTTCGCATGCGAGAGCTCCTGAGGCTGGTTAGTGCGGGGCTATAGAGGGACCCTGCCATGTGCCCATCTCAGCCCAGCCCCATTTTGCAACAGAATAATTCCTTATGGAGTTACTATCATTTTCATCCTGTACGCCACTCCCCTTCTGCTTGTCTCTCAAGGGCACAGAGTCATACAGCACATAACTTAAAGACTTTGGTATGCAGCCCTGCAAGGTCAAAAAAGCTGGCTCCTTAGGCACATCTGGTCTTCTGTGGCATAACTCTGATGGCCCTCTTTCCTCACCACACTTCAATAGGCAGTTTTAGCATCCCCACCACATTTATTTTTAAGATCTTGACATACAGGATGTTGTTATGACATCATTCAAGAAAAAGCCCAAAACAAACCCAGACATCACTCCATGCCTTTCCAAGATGAACCTGCAGGACCACTGCGCTGCAATATATTAGCTAGCAAACGTAGGTGCTTTGGCAGCTGTCCCAGTCACTTAATCGAAAGACTGAGCTCAGGGGCTGTTTCGCCTGAGCGGGTAAGTCAAGATGTACATACCAAAGATGTCATCTCTGCCACATTCCCTTCCTTGCTTGAAGGTTTCTGTCTGAGTACTGTTTATTTTTATCTTACAATTGATGGATTGTACATAGGTTTCATTTGCCCTGTCTATCCCATTAGTTCTATACTGTAACTGTGTTAGATTTGGCCTCGCGTACCAAATTACTCTAAATGGGGGGTTTTGCCAAGCATTTAAAGTAGGCCAGTGCCTACCACCCCCGCTTCCCTGACAGTCTGTTCTAAAGCATCTACAGGACAAAAATTGCTCATGGACCCATTTGTCAGAAAATTATCATCTGAGCTTCTCTTCTTCCTCCAGCATACGTATTACCATCATCAAGAGTTTGCTTCTCCAGCACAACCAACCAACAAAAAGTTACAACAGAGTATCAGAGGAATTATCCCTTTTTTTAGACATTCCTTTTCAGCTTCAATGTTTGCTCCTGTACTTCTGAAGACTTGTGGGTGAAAAACTAACCACAACAAACAAGAAAGAAAGTATGAAAAAACATTTTCTAGGGACAACTGACTGGAAAACTTAACCGAAGAAGTTAGCTTATTTTGTTCTAGTCTGGAATTTGCACTAAGAGCAACAGAAGATTACAGCTCCTCATCTCCCATTTCACAGGAGGCAGGTCGCAAACAAGAGAAACCTCAAAGAAACAACGGGATTCCCTTGTGAGTGAATGAGCCACAAGTCAAAGCAGCCTGTAGTGGAAGGTTGCAGAAGGTAGTGACCAATGAAGTTGTTCTTCCCTGCTAGAGTACTGGTAGCACAGAAGTTACTCAACGTAACAGCCAAAGACAACAAATCTGCCTCTTCAGAGGAGTTGAGGCACAGGCAGGGCACCCACCTGCTCCACAGAGAAAAGAACCCTGGGCCTGGAAGGAAAAAAGAAGAATAAAAACCCAACCAAAAACCTAACCAAAAGGCCTAAACGCCTTCTGTTGTTTAAGGTAATGCTGACTGCAGGTCTGAATTCTTCCTTACACTCAAAAACGCAGTGAACAAAGGCCTACAGACGGTGTTGATTCATAAGCAGTCACAGTTCCAATTGGGACAATACATGAGATTACCACCCTTGTGGTGGAGACATCTTAACTGCTCATGAATCAGCTGTTCATGAGTCAATACCCCCTTGCAGCTGCCGTTTCACTGGTACAGGAAAGAAGTCAGACCCAGGGGCAGCATTCCCTAAGGCCAAGTAAAGATAGCAAAGAGCAGCAACTTCACCAACCAGACCAATTCAGTCCTTCCCTGTTTCCAAGTCAATGCCCAAGAAAAATCCCGTCACCACTGTGACTCTGCATGGATACAGCTCTCACAATTCAACCTGCTCCTTCCTTTTATTAAAACTTAGGTCTGTTTGCAGGGCAACGATTAGTGCCCCAGTCAGAAGATCTGACCTAGTCTCCCACCTACTCCTGTATCATGCTTCCTAAGATTTAGGCACTGAATACTTCTATCTGAGACCCATGGCAAATAGGCAGATAGGCCACTAGCATTCCTGTTTGCCAGTCCTCTCCTGCTTCTTGGCTATTAAAGCCTCCAGAATGGCAGCCTCCTATCTATCTTTCTTTCCCATGCTGCAAGCTCTCGTTTTCTCTCACAGCCAGCTCCATTATGTTTTTCCTCATGCTAATAGATGCTATGCTGATCAAGGCCCTTTTAAAAAGGCTGCACATATTAGAGGCCTGTCCTCCAGCTGGAAGAAGCTTTTCAAGAGTAACAGGCTTCAAAAATCACAGTGAGAGGAACACAATCTTAAAAACCTCATTTCCTAAATTTGTCAAGCCTGAAGAAGTTGTAAACTCTGAATCACAAAGAAAGGACAGCCGTAAAGCTGGCTTGCTCTTAACAAAAGCAATTTTAATTCAGAGAATTATCCCACCTCCTGGTTCATCCTCAGGAGCTCAGAACAGAAGCAGGAAATTACAATACTGAGACTTCTCAATTTTTTCCCTGCCCTCAGAGTTGAAAGAAAGGATTTGACTATTCAGCAGTTATGGAAATTCAAAACTAAAATTGAGTGGGAGCACAAAGAAGAAAAAAAATGAAGGTGTGTCTTTCTTTTATTCTAATCCTAGATCCCATGAGACATGGTTCTGCTACAGTGAATGGCTGCACCTTAGGCAAAAACATCTCTCAGACACTACCAGCTGTCACCAAGTCAAATGAACTGACAGAGCTGGAGATTCAGGCTAAAGAAGCAGAGTGCATATTTCCCTCTAACCTTCTTGCATAGTCACACAATGCTTCTTCTGCTTCAAGCAGCTTCAATGCTGCTTCCTTCCTTTCGGAGGAGGCTGAGAACATCACATGTTTATAGTTTAACAGTTCTCACCAGTGACGCACTCCTTCACATAGCAATTCTTAATGGAGAAGAGGAAGCAAAGTAGCCTCCTGTTCCAGGAAAGGTGTTTTCTGCCACCAGTCTTGCTGCTTTTGTACCCAGACTCTTTTCCAAACCCAGAATAATCTCCTGTTCTCACTTTACACCTTTTTCCAGGCAATAATTTCCAAACTCCTAGCTTCTCTCCTCAACTCAGCCCTCCCATTTCATATACTTTTCCAGACAGGACTGTTCTCCAAAATATCCTCCCAGACATCCCACTCAAAAATCCTTCTGGTTGTATGTGTGCTCCCAAGCCTGACAGGTCCCAGCCTCTACCGCTGCAGATAGCTCCATCACCACCTCTGTCTCATGGGCTCACCATCTCAGCACTATGCCAGTATCAGTCTCTCCATCTCTACTCCCATTGCTAAGCTCTTGATATTTCATAAAATCACCCCACTAGGTCAGGTCTCTACTGTAGAGGGTCTCAAGTAAGTTCTCACATCCTCTTATCAAGTGTTACTAAGATAATTCTTTCCTCGCCTCAACAGTTAAATTCTGTTCAATGCTCATCTTCACTTTCAAAACTTAAGTCTTTTATACTACCCAATTAACAACTCTTTCTGCCATCAGATCCCATATAATTACTCCACTTGGATCTCATTACATGGCTCTTTCTGTTCCTTTGCCAGCTCAAGTCCTTGGCTCTCATTTCCAAAATGCCTATCTTTGCTTCTGTTAATATCTGTACTCCTATATCCCCTTCCCTTCTTCTCATGGTTTACACTACTCTTGCATCTGCTTCCTCATCCTTATTTCCCCAGTTACCAGCTTTCAGTAGTCTTTGATGCCAACTCCTACCCAAAAACCCCTCTTTATCCTTGTTCTAAGAAGTGATTGGAAGGAAAAACTTTCAGAAGCTTTTCCCATTAAGCAAAAGCTAAAGGAAATTTAATTAGAAAGCTATGCTATTTTAATATTGGACCTTATCTATCCCACTGGAATTATCACAACCCTGATCCTTATCAGATGTCAGATGTTTAATTTAGACTACAAACCCTCTGGGGCAAATGTAGCCTCTTCCTCCTTGTTACACGGAGCCATAGCACTTAGACCAATCCTTAAGGCAATATCTCAGAAATTCAAAGAACTTGATTTTGCCAAAAGCAGCGCCACTCCGTATACTGAGACTTGGGAATGACTAGAGAAGTTAAAAGTACTGACTCTTTGAAATTTCAAAAGGCAAGAATAGGGTTCCCCCCGAAACAGAAATCATGTCTGACCATGTCTGAGAAGAGAGAAGCTGGGTACAGACTGCACTGAAAAAGTTTTTCCATGGTATCTCTAGCCCCTTCCTGCCTCAAGTCTCCAAAGCCATCACTTATCCCCTTCGAAACAGCAGGAGAGGCACTTCTTTTCTCCTTCTCTCTCCAGAAGGAGCACAGCAGAAATAAACCTCAAATGATAAATTATGCACCACCTTTGTGTGGCTGCCTCTTGGCCAGACGGGCAATTTTTCTCCCAAAGCCTTTTGTTTCCAGCTTTGATCCCAGTGTTGGATCCGCTCTGTTCAGCACTCCCTCGGCATGGAGGTGAAGGGAGAGCTGACACAGGCCAAGTTCAGGCTTACTGCAAGTCACAGTTAGATCTTCCATTAGCCTTCTCCCCTCCCCCTTCCCAACTGGAACTCTCCTTGAGTTTGAAAAGATCCTATTAAACATTTTCCAGAGGGTCTTACAGAGGATACATTATTTTGATGGATACTGAGACTAAAGGAGGAGGATTTCTAAGTAGACTGAAATAATGGTGTTTGTTCTGATGGGTTTAAGAGATGCCTGGGGGCACCAAGTAAGTTCCTTCTCTGCAAATCAAAAACACAGAAGACCAGAAAATGGAGCCGAACAACTAAACACCAGGAAGCGGGGAAATCAGGCTCTATTTAACGGCTGCTCTTGGTTACAGCCAACTTCAGGCTGCTTGGAAAAACAGCACACACACACATCACTGGCAGAAACTTAACAGGAGAAAACAAAGAGACAACAGGGGTCAAACTGGGGGTGGCAAGTAGGAGAAGGATGCAAGGCTGGGTCCCCACCCCCTGCCAGAGAGTCGGATCAATTATCCTTGAATACTAACAAGATTTCTGATTAAAGAACTGCTACTATGCA